AAAAAGAGTTCAGTGCTCTTAAATCTTCTAGTAATGTCTTTATAAAATAAACAAATATTTAAGCTGAAGCATAAATAAAACAACAACTACTGTACACAGTAGGATTCAACAGCTTTGTTCAACTTAACCACATACTTTCAAATGAAAAAAAGTGCCAGGGAAAAATAAATCCGCAAACCCACGAGAGTATCAAACAATGCCGATACAAGTAAAAAACTCAAATATCGGCCCGATATATCGGCCAGCCGATGTATCAGTCTATCCTTACAATTTACAGGTGTAAAATGGTAAGAGAAACTCAGAAAACAGTCAAAACTGAGCACAATTTAATCTATGAAATTAAACACAGTCCAAAAAAATATTGCGTATATTACAATAGCCATTTGAAATCATTAATCACAGTTTTCAGTAACCAAACTGTACTTATATGTGTGGCACCTTGCACATCATCCTACAAAACATGACAACAACTCACTGAATAAAAGTTAAAAAATAACATTTACTGAAAACAATATTCTTTAGCAAAAATACATCTTTTAGAATTTTTGTTGGGTGAACACTATCGCATGAAAACAATATCACTTTATAAGTTTAACCACCTAACATTTTTGTTGCTGGCTACCAAGGGTAGCAACACATTAGCGACTAGTTGAATCATCAAGCACATCCATGACCCAAACCCCTTATCTTTCAATCTGTACATTCATTAGTGACTAAATGACCGAAGCAAACTCACCTTTTTAGTGGAATCTTCATCGATCAACAACCGGTTATCCAGGATGTCTGGAAGAAAAAGGAAAACAGGTTTGTAACAGTATCAGACAGGCACAAGACAATAAAAAAGTAACAAATAATTTATTTTAAAAAAAGTAAAGAATGCACAGAATCAAAGCGAGTCAACTTGTAAAATATTTGGAGCTAACAAAGCAAAGGTGCAAACTCTACCACATCATGAAAAAACACTATTTGGCCAAGAAACAGAAAGTCTTTTCAAAAAGTCAAAGTGCTTACTGTGTGTGGTGGGAACTCTCTTTCCATTGTAGGCAAACCTGGTCAGCGTCATATCAAAGTCGGAGATTACCTGTGGAAATATGACCATTTAGAACATAACAACAGTACTGTACTCTGTCACTCAGCAAACACACAAAGTACAATTTCCCTTAGTTGACACTGTGGGCTCAAGGTTTACATTTGCATGTCTGTATGTACTGATAAAGGCTAACAACTCTTAGTTATTACTAAACTGAGCAGTTACGAACAAAAATTACAAAGACAGTAATCAGGAATCAGTCTTCCTGTGAGGTCTATGTATGTATGAAGATTCTGGCAATGGTGTAGTCGTCAAATCTGTTTCAGTTCCTGTAACATTTTATTTTAAATGTTCAGTGTGCAGGATTCAGGGCGATATATCTGCAGAGGTGAAAAAATAATATAAGTATGTTTTCTTTAGTGCATAATCACCTAAAAATAAGAACTGTTGTGTTTTTGTTACCTTAAAATGAGGCATTTATATCTACATAGGGAATGAATCCTTATCCATGGAGATCACTGTGTTTCACTGCCATGTTTCTACAGTAGCCCAGAACAGACAAATCAAACACCTTACAGAGTATCTTCTCTGCTGTTGATGAAAGTGATATCTAATTAGCTGAATATGAGCATTGGTTCTCAGATTGACTCCCAAGACGTCAATCTGAGAACTGACTGGCTCAGAATATATTCTTACTTCTGATGAAATACTGCACAGTTAACTCACCTGCAGGCTGCCTGCACCTGCCCGCTGCATGGCGTACATTGTCTCCTCCACTCTGCTGCGCTCCCTCATCAGCACCGAGCACTTGGCCAGCTCTGGGATCTGAACAGAAGAGTTTATTCTTACAATGCATGTTTATTTACATCCACCAACAAGTTTATATCAAGTTCACAGGTAAGAGTAGCAAAAGTCTTAAGTCAGGCATCATCTTTCTTTTAGCGTGTGTACGTTAAGACTTTTTTTCAATCAACCCAACCACCACTAAAACTAAAATAAATGTACTTGACACAACACAGGAACAAATAGTCATACAAATGAAATTTCATACTGGCATGACAATATTCCAAACTAGCTCAACCACAGCAGGTACAAGTTGACAAAACAAAACCAAAAAAAAAATCCACATTAAGATATTTTAAAGCTGGCAAAGATACTTCAAGCAATAATTATCTGAACTGAAACTTTTATTGTCTTTACTCAGGAGAGCTTCCTCACCTCAGTCTTAGTCAGCTGGTGCCAGATTGCCAGGACAGTCCGCACCGGTGTGTATATCCAGGGAACATGGTATATCTGCATGTAAAGCCAGGGAGAAGACTCATGTTGGTTATGCTTTAGTTTACAGGTTTGTAATCTTTCAGAGATGTTTTCCTGGATATAAATGGTAATTTGGTGCTCATTTTGTTTTGTTAAAAAGTCACTACAATTCAAGTCAAGTTGTTTAGATAAGGATAGAATAAACAAACAAATACTATATTATGGCTCCAACAAGAATGTTCATTTGGTGTAGTTCAACTTTCTATGAGAGAAGAGAATTCTTTAGGTTAACTGCAAAAATGTCTTTACAAGCAGACATATAAGGCAACATATATGGAAAATAAAGCTTTTAATAATAAAGGAAAAATATAATTAAAGAAAAATAAACTATAAACTATTCACATGGGTTTAAATTGTGCAGCTCCGCCTCGGAGATTTTATAAATAGTTCCAGCTCTTTCTTTATTTTTCACTTTTGCCCATCCCTACTTTAGGCTTAACTGACTGGCTAATTAGCATAGCTTACACCTTGCAGCCATACTTAACAATCCGTTAGCTGCTAAGCTAACTGCCTGTCAGTGCAGCATCGTTTCTGACGGTGTGTACTCAGTGGAATTACACACCGTGTTTCATTCACTACGCACTAACCTATAAAACACATTAAACGTCGTTGTTGCACCATTCACAGTCATAAAATATTAAAATGTACGTTTTAAAACTTCAATATTTTGTTACTGAGACAACACTGATTAGCTAACGCTGCACAGCTGGCCGGTACAACTCACCATCTTCAAACGGTAACTGACGTGTCCGCGAGCCGTTAACTCCGACTGACAACAACCGTTAGAGGAACATAACGTCAAACAACA